ACACAATCTAACACACAGACAAACACACACACACACACACACACACACACACACACACACACACACACACACACACACACACACACAGAGAACATTTCGGATCCTCCAGGCTTTTCGATCATGTCCGATGAGCCTTTCACCCCGTTTAGTCGGTGGTGCAAATTTGTATTCATCCTCAAACATACTCTAAATGCAAGTCCACTGCGATTCCCTGCCTCCAGTGAGGCCATCAATTTCCAAAAGGCCATTTATATGCCCAGAAAATCAATGCTTATAGTGGGTATAGCACAACCCTGGAGTTGCACTTAGGCAGCTAAAATTGTTGCTAATTATCCACTTAACGCATTGATCAATTAACTAAAGTAATCTGAATTAACCTACTGTCTGGAAGTTTGTCTGCTGACCCTGCAGAATGGTGCCGGGGTCACAGCATAGGAACAGGCGCGGAGATAGAGACATTTATTTCTCTGTGTGTGTGAAAGGAGCACAGAGTGCAAGCGACACTTATTCCTCCAGGCCATTTGCAAAGCTCTTGAAGTGGGATAATTATGGCAGTGAGCAACTATCAGGGGTTTCCTTAAAATGAACTCTTTAAGTCCGGCCTGGATGTTTTCCAACCCCCAGAGGAAAAAGCAAACTTTAAACTGGTATATGTAACTGGTATATTAAGGCTGTTTTTCTTTTCTTTTTTTATTTAGCCTTAGGCACAAAGTACCGAGGTCTCATTAGGCTAATACACACTCACCACCCATACATCTTATACCTGACATAAGCCTGCACCTTACAGGCTCTAAACCAGCTCTGGATCCTGGTGGCCGCCCAGCTCTCCCTCTGCCTGTTCTCCTCAGCTTGGCTGAAACACATCAGACACAACAATTAAACACTGCACTATGGCTACGTTGTCTCACTGTATTATAATAAAGTTCGTTCCTATCACATACAAGTAACGCTAGCACCTGACAACAGTCACACGTAGCGTGGGTCCCATGTGGCGTGAGCCCTCCAGTTGTTTCAAAGTTTCAAGTTTAAATGATTATAATATATGTTATACTCTTGTCATGACACCACTGTCGTTGAGTTACATTGTGAATTCAAGCCCGAATGATACTAAACAACAATATCATATAATACACAACGAGCAGGGTTGTTCAACAGATAGCAGCATAGCATTCACAGCTAGCTCACGTTAAGCATGCTAGTTAGCAGGTAACCGGACGTGAACGCAGTCAGGTGAGCTGATGGTTCGACTCCGCTAACAGGATCTGCCCCTGCCTAACGAACACACGAGACACGTGCCTGTTCCTGCAGAACAGTTCCCGGTGAAGGTCCTCAGCTTCACTCTTCACCTCCAGCAGCTGCGCCATGTCTTCACCGGGAGTTTACCTGTTGTCCTGGCAACACTGCCCGAGAGGCGTTCCCTGTCATCCAGGAAACAAGAACTTTATTTACAACACAACAACGATTCACTGGGCTGTGTCATCGATGACGTCATGGGTGTGTTTGACATCATGGCTGTTGAGCTCCTCCGTCTGTTGATGCAGTGAGGAGCAGTTATTTTTCTGTAAATGATTGATCATATTTCGTCTGTTTGATGATTCACCAATTTCATTAAGCACCCTTTTTCTTGATAAGTTTTTTGATAAGAAAAAGAAAAAATAGGAATAATAATAATAATGAATCTACTTTAAAAAATGCACAATATAAAAAATGTGACAAATGGACAATTCCAAAGGATGACATTGACAACCATAAAGCATGGGACAGTTCCATTTCTATTTATTTGCATCATAAACAGAAAATACAATTAATTTACTTCTATATTTTAACTTACTTTATTTCATTTATCAGGATAAATCCTAAACACCAAAATTATTTGATTACAAAAAGGCTTTCAGTGTCCTTACATGTTCAGATGTATTTATCGCTGCAAGAAATGGAAATGTGTTTATTTTGACCTTAGATTTTCCTCCATCACTGCACACAGTCATCTGTACTGAGGCAGGAATACACTGCTAATAGTAAAAAGATAGAAGGAAAAAAAATCCCAGAAAAGACACTTTAAAAAAATGCCTGCACTCTGGATGCAGATTGTGGATCTGTGTATTGATCTGCCAGCTGCCTTCACTCGTTCCGTCCATCCCTCCATCTATTTTCCCCCTTTACTTGACGTTATCGCCCTTCATCATTCAGTTATCAGTTTATTTCTCCCCACTCTTCCTGCCTCCATTTCCCCTTCGTCTTCACTACTCTACTCTTCGTCAGCCATATTCACCTGTCAAAATGATCGCCTCAGCAGTGTGTGTGTGTGTGTGTGTGGACTTTTGTATCTGTGCAAGAAAAGATATCTGTCTGGCCAATGGTCAGAGGAAAAGTCTGTCTGCATTATAGATTACTCCCTCAAGACAGGAAAAAACGAAAGTGAATGAGTGTTTCCCGTGAGTGTGTATCTGTCTGTGCTCTTTCATGTCTGTACACAGGTTTGCCTGCTCCTCTGTGAGCCTCTGCGTTTGTAGAAAATCGTATTTTGTCTTTCTCTGAGGCCAATTTGCCGTCTGAGGGCCACCACAGCGGTGAGGAGCGGTCGGCAGACGTCCTCAGTAGAGTTATGGCTGGAGGGGTGGACCCGTGGTGGCTCGGCCCATCCATCGAGGGCCAGCAGGAGAGAGGCCACCCTGGTAATTACCGGAGAAATGTTGTTGTGACAGGCGTGTATGTGAGTGAGAGATAGAGAGAGACAGAGAGATTCTTAGGGAAGTGTTGTTTTTGACAAGACAGTAAGGAGGGCTGGAAGCCATTCGTCCTGCCACAACACTGATTAGGTGTCACCAGGTGTGTGTCTGTGCGAGAACAACACAGAACAACGAGTGAGAGCACTTTATAAAAAGACACGCTGTTTACACTCTGTCTAATGACCCACTTCTAGACCCAGCCCGACCATCATCCTCTCCACATCCCTCCACACTTGTACACACATTCCTCAAACACGTCACTACTTCTGATATCTTCTTCTTCTGCCACTCTACTGTTCCCTCTTTTTTCCAATCCCCTCCTCAGTCAAAACATTTTTGTTGCTCAGTGAGGCAATAATTCCTTAAACGAGATTATTCATGTAAACCCTCCCTCTCTCTCTCTCTCTCTCTCTCTCTCTCTCTCTCTTTCTCTCTCTCGTTCCATCTCTCCATACGGGGCATGTCATTTAACATGCTTCCAGTCACCTCTCACAGTCAGGAAGCTCATCCAACCAGTCATTCTCAATGCCCATTGTTCCTAAATGAGGGCCATATGCGCTGTGGCCAGCACTGGTCATAAAGACACACACACACACGTGCACACACACACACGTGCACACACTCGCACACACTCGCACACACAGATACAAACACATGCCAGTGCCAGTGGTGACACCAGTGTCTATGAGTGAATGTGTGTGTGTGTGTGCATGTGAGTGCATGTGGGTGTGTGTGGATCGCTCTGTCTGTGTATGAATCATTATTGTGTGTGTCAGTGTATGAGTGATTATATGTTAGTGTCTGCATATGTGGGCCTGTGTGTGTGTGTGTGTGTGTGTGTGTGTGTGTGTGTGTGTGTGTGTGTGTTCCTACAGCCACAGTGGGGTGCGGCGGATGGAATGTGTGTTTCTCGGCAGGGCCAGTTCGGCCATTATTATTAAACATCTGTCCGCAGCACATTAATTCCCCCACTCTGACGCATCCCTCTTTGCCCAGGGATCACTTAATTGAAATCCATAATGACTCTTTCTTCTCTTCTCTCCCACACTGAGCAAAGTGAAGCAGCAAAAAAGGAGGCTTGTATCAGCTATTGTCAAATAATTCTCTCACCTATTGTTAAACCGTTTAACAGCCTGATACACTGCACATAATGAAACACACACTATTTAGATTTTGTGAAAAACGAATTCAATATTTGTGTGTATTTGGTGACAAATTTCACTAATAAACCTTGTAAATATGTTTAATCCTGTCCTT